TGTGATCCTTTTCTGTTCTTACGATCTACGCCGCGAGTACCGAAACGCGTTAACCACCCCGTCTCCGTACGAACCAAGGAATACACGATCAAAAATCGAACACGCGGTTCCGATTATTCTCGCGGATCGCGACACAAACGGGATCGCAACCTTGTACCGGATAAAAACCAGAAGAAATCTCGTAATCTGTGTAAATTCGTTTTCGTTGGAAAACTTTCGTCCCTCGTTGCAACTTTTTAATTTCCAATTCCACAGAACTCTACCACCGCTCCGTTTACCACTCGCTATACTCCTCGCTGCGAGAATACAGCGGCTCGGCTAATAAGCTACGCAGCGAGGCCACTGCTCGATGCGACGAATTACCCCCGAAAACGGATTTCGGTTTTTCAGCATATGAAACGCGCGTGCGAGTTTGTCCCGGAAAACTCACCTCGTTCGAATAGACGGACGGTAGGCGAGCCGTGCAAAGCGATCCCATGCATAGCCGGTAAAAAGAGCTCGACGCGACGCGAAAACGTTAGTCGGAATTACGAAACTCTCGACGCGTTCGACTGACGGAAGGATCTCTTTCTTCCGACGTGGCACCGCGAAGCCGCGAGGTCTCCGTTGGAAGAATCCAGGTTGCATCCGGTATCGGATCGAGACCGGAAGAGTGCAGGAGAGTCGTTTTCCGCGAAAGACCAGGAAAGATAGCGACTAGAACGACCGCGTTACGATCATGATGTAACCCCTTTTACAGCGTAACTTGTTGCGGGGAAATTGCGCGCAAGAGTAAAAGCGTCGCGTTAAAGGAACGCGCGCGTGTGCATCCGTGAATAGCGTAATTCGCGATCTTTGTAGAGACCAGCTAATCCCGTTACGTTTTCCCAAACGAATTTCTAGAACGCGCCGCGATAAAGGGTGCGCGTGTGGGAGGTTGCACGAGTCATTGCCGAGCATTCGTTTTACGAGTTTGGACGACCGACGATGCTGGGTCCACCGTAACCTTTTCTTCGAGCTTAATCGCATAGAAATACTCGGCGGGGCGAAAGGACGGGCCGCGGAAACGTTGGACGATTCGAGGCTATCCGTGGCAGCGGCGACACAGTGGTACCGTAAAAACTGAGAATAAGAGGTAATTTTATTTACCGCCCCGTTTGCGAGCCGCACACGGCAGCAGCGGCGGATAATTACCGCGACGAGTTCACGGAGAAACGTACGTTCGTTGGTCGTCTCGCGAACTCGTTGCGGTGAAACTTTGCGGAAAAGAGGACGGTCCCGGTTGGAAAAGTCGGAATAAACGTAGAGAAGTGGAGGAAAATCGAACGGAGACGAGGAGCTCGGAACGATCATCGATCGCGCTAAACGGGAAACGGGAAACGGGAAATAGGAAGCGAGAAGCGGGAAACGCGACACGCGTTCCGAAAATCTGCACGCGAATCACATCGCTTTGCATGCGCGTGTCACGAATCACGCTCATCATAAACGACTGTCAGTCGACGCCGAACGATTTTCAAATGCAAATGTATTTCGCTCGACGAATGGACGTCAGCGTCGCTTTCGAGCGGTCGTTCCTGACGGACGGACGGTAGGCAGGTAACGGGTTTCTAAACGCGATAGCCTCCACCGCTGAATTCAGCAGCCAATTAGGACGGATTCGGCGATAATAATACGGCTGACGCGAAATGACGTGCCTCGCGCGTTTCCACCTTTATTCCGCCTCTATTTCCCTTTTATTCCAACCTTTTGCCATCGTCGTCGCTCGTGAATCCACAAACTAACGCGTTGTTCGTCGCGTCGAGCAATGAATCATCATCCCTGAAGGTGGGACCTTTCCTTGCTACCGCGACCCGCCGCGTCACGTCACGTCACTCCCAACCGTGCGATTTTGCTCGCAACTTCTCGGACCGACGGATACACGCGCTCGCGAACGATGCAACAGCCGCCGGTCGAGAGAAAGTTGCAAGGATCGACGCGAGTCGAGCGCGGAACCAAGAAATAAGACGAAACTTTCCGAGAAAATGTTTGCCATTCGAATTACTCCGCTCTACCAACCCCTTCGCCATACCTCTCTCTCTCTCCTTTTGCTTTTTCACCGAGAGCGCGACAAATTCGATACACCGTTCTTCGGCCAAACGATAACGCGATAAGGGACGATAACGATTTTTTCCGTGAACGCGCTATCGATACGTCTAGCTTATCGCGATCGATACAGCAGCGGCAGTTGGGACTCGCGAATTCGCTCTTCCTCCGCCATTCCGAACCGCCTCTGTTTCGTCGAAACGGTTTAGGAAGGATGGCTAAAGCGCCTATGGTTCCTGTAACGTACAGAGGCGCTGCGCACCTACGAGAAACGGCCGGCGACCCCGACGGACCGCTCTTTGTCCTCTCTTGGCTTCTCTCTGCTCTTTGCCTCCTGTCCTCGCTCTGTTTCTTTCCTTCCTTCTAACCCTCCTACCTGCCTCCTTCTTCCTCCCCCCACCCTGCACCCGTTTCTCCCTACATCTTTATTGTTCCTCGTGCCACGACACAGCCCGTCTTTTCTTCGTCGATCACTTTGCTCCGTCTAACTTATTTCCTTCCATCCTTTATCCTCCGGCCTCCGTCCTTTCCACGCGCCCGTATTTTTATCCCAAAAATCTATTTCGTTTATTTCATCGGCCAATGCAAAGTAGCCCGCTCTCTCGACCGATCGGGCCCGTTCGTTTTCCGGCAAACCGGTGATTGTCGTCGTCGTCGTCGAAAATCCGATCGAAACAACGCTTCTTTCAATTTTCAACGGGGCATTTCTCGCGATACGCCGTCGATATATTTCCGAACCTTTTTGTCCCGTCGTTCGACGAATTATCACGCAAAGATACGAGTACACGTAGACGTCAAAGCGCTTAAAAACACCGGCAACTCGGTTTAATCCGTTAGACAGGCTGGCGAAGGACCGATGCGCGAAGGCGGCTTGTTTTTCGTTACGCAATCCATCGACCCAGTTTAGAGACGCGCCACGGTAAAAACGGAATAAGGAAACTACGTCCCTCGATATGTTCCTTCTACGCAGCTTCCTTAAAGGGAACAAAGGACACGCAGAGGGAGGGAAATGGGGGTGTGTACGTTGGAAAATATGGAAACGCAAACGTCTCGAGGTTGATTCGACATGGCGAGGGGAACGATACGGACGCGCGTGGTAAACGCGGAGATAAATCCCCGTGGTGGCGCATCGCGCGGCGAATGGTAGGAAAAAGTGAAAGCCGGGTACACAACGTTTGCCGGTGTCGACGTCGCCATCCCCGAATCGCGGTTTTTATCGGCCGATACTTCGCGCGATTCGAAACCGAACTGTTGTTTACATCGGGTCCAGGTTCACGACACGCAGCGTTTAGGAATCTCCGGCGGCAAGGGCGAAGAAAAAAGAAGGAAAAGAAAGGGGAGGGGGGAATAAAAAAAGAAAACACGAGGGAAAAAGGAAAGAGAAGCCATACTTGCGTGGCGCGCGCGCGACGGCGCTGCTGTTACTGCTGCAGCTAAAGCTGCATTCTTTCGTGAGAAGGAAAAGAGCAGAAACGTTAGAGCGAGAAAGTGTGGGGGAGGAGAAGAAGGGGGTTGACGGACGAGACTAAGAGAGGGAGATAGAAATGGAAGGGGCAGGAAGAGGAGGGAAAAATGCGAGGAATGTACCAAGAGAGCACTTGGAAATCGGTTGGCAGTGGTTTAAGATTACGCCGAGTAAGGTTCCTCGAAGGCCTCTCTCGAATCTCCTCCAACCGAATCCTTATGCGGCCGACTCGGCGAAATGGAACGCGACCCTGATTACCTCGATGCAACCACCGGGCGCACGAGCGCGCGCCCCCGTTCGTGTCCCGACCAAATTCGCCTCGATTAAACGCGATAAATCGCTAACGCGTTCCTCTCGATCGCGTCGATCCCTCCTCTCCTTTCTTACCGATCGATGAAACGGACTTACGTGCCTCGTTCGCGATAGTCGTCGCATCCTTCGACTTCCATGATTAAATTCGATTATGCTCTCCCCGCTTCTCCCTTGAGACACGCGACGACCACTCGTCGATACCAGTCCGATTCGTTTCTCCATCTCCTCGTTACTCGTAGTCTCGCGTTTTTCCAAGTTAACGACCTTACAACCAACCATGTTTTGTCCGTTCAACCGGCGGGAAAAAAAGAAAGAAAGAAAGAGAAAGGAGAAGCGAAAAGAAAATAGAGAAAATCGTAAGACGGTAAAAGGAGAAAGAGGAAAAGAAGAAGAAGAAGAAGAAGAAGGTATTAGAAACGTTGGAAAATTCCCACGCTCCGAGTCTAACGTTGTTCCCTCAGTTTTCTCAGGGTACGCGTTTCGCATCGCTCGACACGATACCTTCGGCTACCCGATATCTCCAAGCAAGAAAAACAGAAAAACCGGGCTACTGGTTTTGCGTTACGAAAGTGGAAAGAAGACATGGTTTGCGCGTCCGATGCGAACCGGCAACGTCTTAACGCAGTCCCAGGTGATTCTTTCGTCATCTAAACCTCGCGTATTTATAGCCAAACGCGGATTCCAAATGATTAAAAATAGACAAAGCGGAAGGAGCTTTAACTAGATGCGACTTTCGTCCAAGGCTTCGAAATCGTCGATCGATCCGTTTTTATCGGAACGAGAGTGTAACGAAGGAAAAGAGGAAAAGAGAGAACGAATGAGATTGGAGTAGAAAACGCGTAACACGACACACGATTCGTTCGTATTCGTAAACGTCGAGAGGCCTCTCTCAGAGTTGGTACTTATGAACACGGCCTAAGGCCCCAGTTTGCCCCACCACCATTGCACGGCTGGCCTCGTCGACGTACTACGAACAACCGCGCATGCGCTGGATAGGACAAAACGTTATAAACACACGCACCGTTCTCGTTCTCTCGACACACGCGAGTACCACGCTACATAAATGCATATTCACGCACACCCGCGCGCGAACACGCATGTAGCGAGTACGCAGGTAGAAAAGCATCGCGATAATAGCCTCTAAAAGACACGATCCACTCACCGAGAGTTCCACAAAGAAGCAGAAACGACAGCAAAAGATGTCGAGGCCTCGCCCAGGCCCGTACAATGTGGATCCTGGTGTACCGTCGCGACATGTTTCCTTTCTTTCCCTTGTCGCTCTTTTCTTTGGCTTCCCCCCGGCTGGATATTCTCCGGCCAAAACCGACCACGCTCGCCTTCCTTTCCCGTTCTATTCTTTCGCGCGTTCACTCCGATCCCAATTCCTTTCTTCGTACCGATCGTTCCAACTCTTCACGATCGCTAAAGTACATCACTGGTGCACATGGTTCTCGTAATTCCTTTGCCTTTCTCCTCACTTTTTCTTCCTTTCGTTCTTTCTTGCTTCTTTGCACGGCGAACAAAACACCCGTTAATACACTGCACACGAAAGAATAACGCTGAACCGAAAACGACACCAACGTACTTACGCTCGAAATCTTCAACAGACCGACGCCGTACAAACGCGCCTACCCGACTGAACGACGGGGACGCACGATTCGTTCGCGGTACCCTGTGCTTTCTGGCTTACTCGTTGCCTGCCTCCTGCTGGCCTGCCTGCTTGCTCGCTTGCTCGCTCTCTCGCTCGCTTGCTTGCTCGCTTGCTCGTTTGCTTGCTTGCTTGCTTGCTTGCTTGCTTGCTTGCTTGCTTGCTTGCTTGCCTGCTTGCCTGCCTGCTTGCCTGCCTGCCTGCCTGCTTGGCTGCCTGCCTGCCTGCCTGCCTGCCAGCCTGCCAGCCTGCCAGCCTGCCTGCCTGCCTGCCTGCCTGCCCGCCTGCCCCGAATACGCGTCCCTACCCTTCGCCTGTAGCCGGTCCCCTTCCCCCCAGCCTCTCGACCAATCCCACCTCCTGTGTTTCCCTGTAGCCAACCAACCCCCACCGCCCCTCTAGTCCATAGTTCCTGCCGACCCACCGCTGATCAACCCCGCTCCGCTATCCCCGCATTACCAATCCCGTCACCAGCATACAAACAGACCTTTCCCCACCACTTGCTAACTACTTGTTGATCTTCCCTCAGGTACGGATGCCCGATTCGCCGAACCACGTGTCTTTGCGCTTTTCTATCTTTTTCTTCCTTTTATTTCCCATTGAGATTTTCTTCTCCGTCGGGCGTTTATAACGCAACCATAACCTATCCTAACGATATCTCAAAGAACTCGACATTTTCGTTTCATTCTTCTCGTTCGATGTTTTCCTCCAGCGGTCGATCCGATGTGACCTATCCTAAAAGTGACAATTCCGTGTCGTTATCGAAATCGCGACTCTACCTCCGAGAAGGAGTCGTCGCGAATGTTCAATGATAATTCATGAATTTCCCCAAGATGCTAAACGCGCGATACTCGCACGGTTATCTACCTGTTGCCGCGAGCATGGCGATCAACGGACGCCCTACGGTGTAAAACGACGTGTAGGAAACGAAGAAAAACCTCACCACGATACGAGGTCGAAGGAAATCAATATCGATATCGACATCGCGTAAGACCACAAGCGATCGAAGGTAAAGCGAGGTGCGAAAATTCAAGCTCGTGAACCCGTTATGGAACATCGAGTTTCTTTTCTTCGCGGAAATCCCGCGGATCGAAAAACGTAGCCGCCACGTCATCCGGGCGTTTGCGAACCTCGATAACCCGAGAAGTGAATCATAATCGTTCGATGTAGGCAATTCCACCGTTTCGCGTGCTCCTTTTTTTCCGAATAAACTAACCTGTTTCAACGTGTTATAGCTTAGGAAGGCAATGCGAAGGCTAATGTGGTAAGACGTTGCGATCTTCATTGTGCCATCGTTTCGAAAAGATATCGGAAGCGTTCCGAAACAAAGGAGGAGTATATAACGTATTTTCGTTGCCATCTTGTCTTGATATCCGTAGAGATCGAGGCAGATAAATTCATCGATTTTATATAGATGGACGGATCGCGAGGGAATAGAAGAGAAAACACGAAGAGCGCCATCTTCTGTGCTGCCCCTTAATGGGGTACCATATGTACTTGTTCGCACCGTGGGTAATAAGGCGGAGAGCAAAGGATGAAGATGTATCGATTCCTAGTCGAGTCGATATCGATCGATCGAAATATAGTTCTGTTCGTTCGACTTGGACCTATGTAGTTTTTCGACTAAACGCCACTCCAGAATACCATGGAATAATCCGTATGATAGATAGGAAAAAGCACCATCTCAGTTGATCGAAACGCATCGCGAGAACGAGATTCTTCGAATACGTGATCGAGACTCGAAATCGGTGAAACGGCCGCAAACTCTTTTAGGATTAACTCGGGATCAACCGTAATTCCTGATCGGTTTAGTTTCGTTCTTGATTTGCAAATTAGATATCTCGATTTGCGTACAGAAGCCGCATCGTGAAATCGAACGATGCGCGCGCGAGATATTCGCTACGGAATTCAGTTGGTCGATTCGTCGGGCTGTCTAGGATTTTTGTCGACAATACGAAAGGAAAAGGATAAACGAGTTTGCAGCGCGATATGTGTACGAAAAATAAAATTGCCAGTTTCTTTTTCGTTCGTATCGTTTTCTGAAAATTTGCTTATTTGCTAATCTTGTCTGATATAAATTATTATTCCACGTGTTGACGTAAAATAATTATTACGTATAATAGAAAATATTTTGCTTTTGATCAAATCTGTTGTCTTTCGGTTTTCCTTTTTTTTTTTTCGTTCGATCCATGAAATTTTCTTAATCGTTTTAACTTGAAAAGCGAAATCAATAGCGATTGGTTAGCCGGTGAGGGAAATTGCATACTCCCTGTTACTTATTATATCTATGAAGAAAAGCAGGAAATATATATGTATATACATATATTGTACGTCAAATCGACGGTTCGTGCGTCACGTCTTCGTGTTCGTGTTACGTCGAGAAATTTCTGTGATCGTGTCACGTCGCATCATGACAGCCAGCTATTTATTTAATCGCTTATATTTCATCAGCGATGATATTATTTATCGAATTTCTACCACGCCAATATAGGTAATTAAATCGCCCGTTTCATTAACGATAGAATTAATGGACGAGCATTAAAATTATCAGAGGGGGTTGGTAATCCAGAAAGGAAATTACGGAAATATTTGCGACGATTCCAACAAGCGCCGAATATGCCACCTTTCAGTCCCAATATTGCTACTCACGCATATATACGTGTACAGCAACGATGACGCAAAACCCTGCCACGCTCTTTTAGGGAGTAACTTTGCCCTAGGCAAGTCGAATCGATGGCACTTTGATGAGACAAATCGTACGTGATCGATGCTACGGAAATTTTTCTGTTTCGTAGCGACATGTGTGTAACTTTGCCGCGACCATCGTACGCGAAAACGAAATATCCGTTTTTACGAATTTTTATCGACTGTAATGGCAACGGAATGGAATTGACTCGCTTGTATTGATCGCTTTTGACAACTTTGAATGGAAAACGTACACAGTGTACAATCGATTCCGCATCCTCTTCCTTTCTGTCAACTTTCATCGAAACTTTTCGAATGACTGCCTACTCGAATTTCTTCGCATCGTCGTAACCGTAAACTTTTCCCTTTGACATACATTCGTATTCTTCCGATGCACCCACGAAAAACTTGTATGTAAACTTTATCCGAGTTACTCATCCTGCAAGATTTTGCATCACATGTACCAAGAGATCGATATCAGGTAAGAAGATAGATATTTTCGTTATAACCTTTATGAATCGCACCTTTCAATTTAGGGGTTATAATGTCGTTTATTCCGACGTTATCAAAGTCAATGAAGTCGAAAGAATTAACAATGAAAAAGATTCCCATGATTTCACTGGCAATTAATATGCCGACAATCGCTTGATAATAATCTATACTCCCTTTAGTAATATTCCTTTTTCTATACCTTATTTCTAATTTTATAGTCCATTTTACTTTTAATTCCAACTGCTAATAATATTGACGTCTTGTATTGCATCGGTAACATTGGAAATGACGCAAAACGCCAAGAATCTTTCGGGTCTTTGTAACGCGAGATAAGTTTACTTGGTACACGGTCCGTGTCATTATACCATTTAATTAAATAACATCAATTCCTTCACGACTTACGCGATATCATCCGACAATTGATCACCTATGAAAGTATTGTCCGCGTTGATAAAACGGGAAAACGGAGAAAAAGGAAACAAAATAGCACGTTGAGAAAATTGAATAGAAACGATTTTGATCGTTTAGCGACATCTGTTATTGATTATCGAAAACATTATCACCTACTAGCGTCGGTGTGTCGACCAAGAGATGGCGCCACTCGTAAACGTCAAAACAAAACTCTAACCTAAAATCAAACGTTTTCCTCGGCCATCGAGTTTGGTCACGTGAAAGTGTAACGATGTTTATCGTTACAAAAGAAATCGACGGCGAAAATATCGGGAAATTATGCCGTACTTGTCTAAGAGAAGATGGCGATAAAATGGTTTGCCTGTTCGTGGGACCAGCTGAATCGTCTCTTGCTGCCAAACTGCGATCTCTTTCGTGTCTCGAAGTAATTAAATATTTTTATTGTATTTGCTCTATTAGTATGAATGAAAAACTTAATTTTGTTACATTTGAAATGCGTATTTCGTCAGGTTTGGCAAGGTGATGGTCTTCCAGAGAAAATGTGCGATCGTTGTGTAACTAGAGCTGAGTCTGCTTTATTATACAGAGAACAATGTCGTGCAGCGGATAGAGCATTAAGACAAGCCGTTTTAAAGGTAATTACGTATCAACGAGTTTCGAAAGGAAATGCGAACCTTTGAAATACAAGTGTATATTCGTAGGTTTCCGGCCTGACCTCGTACGCCACGGTATCCAGTTATAAATTGTACCAACAAAATCAGGGTTTTGTATCTGTTCCGAATTCCCATAAAACCTTGAAATGCATAGAATGCGCTGCCGTATTTACGAATTATCAAGAACTGTGCACTCATAGCAGATCGCATTTACCTTTCGTCCAGGATGACATACCGATGCAGCATATGCACATAGTAGAATCGCAAAATTCGTACTTTAATCTTAACTTTGGCCACCACCTGAGCTCCAACTTGACTAACGAGAGCGTTCAACATACGCAATTGTCACCATTCATTAGGTCGAATGCGATGCAAATGATTCCAACGAACGGAGAGAACCCTAGCCGTGCAGCTTGCGCTTTACATTGTTCTATATGTAATCGCACGTTCACCAATAGAACCCAATTAATAAGTCACAGTATCACTCACAGTAACGAGAACATAGAAGTGCCCTGTGATAACGAAAATATAGATATCTGCGAGAATTCTAATCAAATTCCACAGAACTTGAGCTATGAACGATCGATTAATTCCGTTGGTAATTCTATTCAAAACTTATCTTATCATAGAGCAACAACGAACGATAACAACGAAATGCAAACCTTGGGTTTTCCCGAAAATGTGGATCTAGGAGAAGAAGTACGAGAGGGTAGTAGTCCGCAGCAAGTACGAAACGCAGTGATACCTCATACGGAAACTTATAACATAGCTGACTGTCGTACTGTAAGATTCTCGAAAAATTTCGAACGTACAGACGATAGTCGAGAAACTATCGACAGGTATCAGTCCTCCTCCTCGAGTCTTAATTATAAGGAACAGATAGAAAACGAGCACTCGGAAGGTATACAGCACGTACAGACGAAAAAGTACAAATGCGAAGTGTGCTGTAAGTTGTTTTCCCAAAAGTCGAAATTGTTAACTCATCGATTGTCACATTCCGGTCAGCAACCGTTCAGATGCCCGACATGCGAGAAAGGTTACTCGTCGAAGAGTAAACTGAATGCTCATGTGCGATTACACACGAAAACCAATGTTCATCCGTGTAAAATGTGCGATAAAATATTTGCCTATCCGTCTTACCTACGGGAACACTTGAAAACGCATAAACGGAACAGCAACGGTAACGCGAGAACGGACGAGAACAAAGCTTTCGAATGCGTGAGCTGCAAAAAGAGATTTCGCCTGTTGAAAAACCTAAGAGCTCACGAACGGCTTCATACCGGAAAAGGTTTGGTACGATGCGAAATATGCGACAAATCATTTAGTCGAAGTTACAACTTGAAGATTCATTTGCGAACGCATAAAGCAACGAGGCCTCATAAATGCGAGTATTGTAGCAAATGTTTCGTTCAAAAGGGTAATCTCGCAGAACATATGAGAATTCACACGAAAATAAAACCTTTCGAATGCAAAGCGTGTGGTAAGCGTTTCTCGCAATCGAGTCATTTGAAAAATCACGAAGCGTCTCATGCCACTGTTAGGCAACATCAGTGCCGATTATGTGGAAAACGATTCAAACTGGCGAATCATTTAAAGAGACATTTGATTTTACACAACGGTGCAAAATCATATAAATGTCATCAGTGCAATCAACTGTTCTCGCAAGCGTTTAGCCTGACGAGACATTTAAAAAGGCACGACTCGCACGCTTAGTTTATATGCATATTTTTATATATTATCTTACAAATACACGATTGTATTTTCTTTTTTCTTTTCCGTCTATGTCGATTGTCTCCGTTTTGAATGAGTCAAAATTATCCGTACTATCGGTATACTTTGGTAACGGTGATCGGTTCATTTGTAGTTCCTAAGGACACTGGTCAGTATATCGAGCCCTTCTTCGAGCTGTTCTTTCGTGATGGTGAGCGGAGGCGATATCCTCAATATTTGTCCATGAGCGGGTCTCGATAGTAACCCTGCTTCCTTTAGTCTCAAACAAATATCCCAGCCATCGGCAAAGTCTGGGAAAATGTAAGGAAAATGTAAAGAAAAGCGAAATAAACGCACGACGCGTGTTATACGGACGTTGTATTCGCAAGTTCTATCGTAAAGACCCGCGATAAAACTAAATATGATACCTTTATTGATTACCAGGCCAGTCAACAAACCGCGACCACGAAACTCCGTCGCTATGTCACTAGGAAGCTTTTGTAACTCCTTACGTACAATTTCACCAAGCTTTCTCGCGTTTTCCGTAAGATTTTCTTCCTCCACGATTTTGACAGCCTCTAAGGCAACTCTGTTACCGAGTGGACTTCCACCGAATGTACTGCCATGAGAGCCAGTTTCTAGGTACGACATTATCTAACAAGACGATAGTTGGCGTTTTAAATTAGATGTCAATTTAAAATTCAAGGTAAATTAAAAAGTAAAGTGATACCGCTGTACTAGGCTGCAGCTGTGCTTACCTGTTCGTCCGCTAAAATGCCGGAAACGGGATACATTCCTCCAGATATTGCCTTCCCTAACACAAGGATATCTGGCCGTTGATTTTCGTGATCCACCGCTAATCGTTTCCCCGTTCTACCCAAGCCAGTTTGCACTTCGTCAGCGATCCATAACACATTGTATTTATTACAAAGATCTCGAACACCTTTCAAGTAACCATCCTGTGCAAACAGTCGCATCGTATATGTACGTATGCTGCTTTTTCGAAGAATCTACGTTATTCGACAAAGGACGAAAAGTTACTTACATCGGGCACCACGACGCCTGCTTCTCCTTGAATAGGTTCTACCATGAACGCGCAGACAGTTGGATCTCCTTGAAGTTTTCGTTCCAAAGCATCGAGATCGTTGAACGGTATTTTATCGAAACGAGGCACGAAAGGTCCGAAATCGGTGTAGGAATTTGGTTCGGTTGACGCAGACACAGCGGCTATGGAACGTCCCCAGAAATTATTCTTGGCGAATAGAACGGTCGCTTGTTCCGATGGAATCTTCTTAAATCTGTAGCCCCAACGCCTAGCCACCTTAATGGCAGTGTCGCCTGCTTCCACTCCTGGAACAGGAGTTACGTGTTTGCGATTCGCTCGTATTACTTTTCTCTTTCTTTTCTTTTTTTCATTCTTCTCCTCTGTACCCTATTTTTCATTTTATTTCTCTTTTCTTTCTTTTTTTTTCTTTTTTTTTTTTTACCATACCGGTGTTCATTGGCAAAAATTTGTCCCATCCCAACAGTTTGGATAGATATTCTCCTAATTCACCGTGAGGCTCCGAATAAAATGCCCTGGAGGTGTGCGCGAGTTTTCCCACCTGATCTCGCATCACCTTTACCAAGCGTGGGTGACAGTGACCTTGGCTGACAGTGGAGAAGCCGGCCAGAAAATCGAGATATCGTTTTCCCTCGACGTCCCACAGATAAACTCCTTCGCCTCTCGTAAGGGCGACAGGAAGAGGCTTGAAATGCCTACCGCCGTACTTGTCATCGCGTTCGATCAATTCTCGTGAACTCAGGGACCTTCGGAAGTTCAGTTCTCTCGTCAAATCGAAGATTCGTGTTCTCCTGGCTGGTTGCATTCCGACGATTTCAAATGGTCCGCAGAATCGTTCAAACGCACAGATCCTTTCGTTACTGCGTTCAATTTCGGAGTCTGCCTCACTTTTATATCAAGAAACCGACAGAAGAGTAGGGGATGGTATGTGCCGTTTATTTACACGTGGTATTTTTGTATACAATCGATACGTCAGTGGGATTTAGAATAAATGCTACGGTACAAGCAAGGATCTCGTATCAGATAATGAGGTAGTATGCGGGACATCGTTTATTATGGCGCCATCGCGCTAAATCAAACGGAAAACGGCAAACAATGTATGTTAGTGTATATGCGTGTCACATCATCGGTAATCTGATTTTAAAACAATGTATTCAAGAACAGACATTATATATATATATATATATATA